AACAATGGTGAAGCTCAATTGACAGTTAGTGAAAAAGCTAGAATTCCTACCAGAGCTGCACCTGACTGTGTAAAAAAAAAAACTTGTGAATCCTCACCATGCTTGGAGGGAGTTGCAAAAAAATTAGAAAAAAATTTATGATGTTTACAAACGCCGTGAGGAGGAGTTTCAAAACAATTTAGAAAATGTATTTGACATTGTACACGCTGATGATTTGGAACGGATGAAAATAGAAGCGGTTTTACAAAAACAAAGAGAACCAGAGCATCAAGGGTGTTTGGCGAGTGTAGACAAGAAGTTATCCAAGAAATAAAAAAGGGCAAGACAGAGAAAATTAAAAGAAAAGAAAAAATATATGAGTAAATGTGTTTCGGAAGTTTATCGCCATCGTCTACTATTCAAGATTTTATACAAACGCACGAAGATGACGATCAACCTACCAGCTCTGATGTTAAACACCAAGTTCTGGAACAATTATGGAACCTCGATGACAAAATACAAATAATGTGCTGCGACACAACTGAGTGTAATACAGGGCGATTGAAAGAAGTTTGTGTACTTTTGAAATAGAAATTAGACAGGGAACTAGTACTTTTTGCGTGCCACATCACGTTTATGAACTGGTTTTAAAATAAGTGTTTGAAATAAAAATCCCCCATGTCACAAATAGCCCTGATATCCCAATGTTCAAGAAATTTAGAAATAACTGGAAAACTATAATTCCTGCTGTTACTGAAATATATGCTGATATTATCAAAGAATATTTCTGTAACACAGCAATACAAAGAGTTTATACGAATCTGAAAAAAAGGTACATTCCATTTAAAGATGAACTGTATTTGTTCGGTAAGTACCTAAGTAGAAACTCATAGCCTACTACTATTCTTTATATTGTTTTCATTAAACTGATAATATAATTGCCTTATTTATTGTTTCATAATCTGTATATTTATCTTCTTTTAATGAACAATCAATTACCTATTATTGTTGACTATTATTTATAATAATAGCTATTGAAAATTTTTCAATTGAATCAACTAGCAAATGGAACTGGTCTAAAACAGAATTTTGTAAATATTCAAAGTCCTGTCGGCACGGATTAATGTTGACTCAGGAAGATCAAATTTTGTATTCAACTAGTTCTAGGTAGATTAAAAAGGAATAGAGGGTATGCATTTCAACATTCGAAAAAAATGTTTTCACCCATATTAGGAACTCCATAATAGTTATTTGATTTGCCTATTGCCATTGCTTATCATGTCATTCTCAAGGCTAATTCAGAAAATACGTCAATCATAATACAACTCTTCACTTCAATTATTACTAAACCTCATAACTTGAATTTTTGTTTCAGTGATAGATGAAACAATGAATACAAATTCATTATTTTCACTTTCCCTCAATTTTCATTACATCCCTGCTTAGAATGCTGAAATTTTTTAATCATCTAGGAACTAAGGAATAATAGTAGTGATACTTTATAAATAAGACAATACTTTATAAAAATAAATCATATTTTTGAGAGACTTGGAAAAAATAATCCATTTTCCTAAAGAGGCAAGAGTTTTGGATGTTTCAACAACCTTATACATTTTAAAGAAATCATCTTCTTACAATAAACAATTTGAAAAATATTCAAATGCAAAATACTATTAGAACTTCTCTCTTTGGTTGGCCTGAGAGTCAAGCAAAGAGTAACAAGGGATGATGAGCTGTTTTCGTTGGGAACTTGATTTTTTACTTACTCCTTGGAGGTCTTCAAAAAGTCTGCAGTCAATTATGTATTTAGTCTATAGATTTATTCCTTTAATGTTTGTTAGTTTTTAGTGCTGTTATTGGCTTTATTAGTTTTATTTAGCATTCAGTTTTAGATTGTTTTTTATTTTATATATTTCAATATTCTGACGAATTTTTTATACATGTATATTTTTGCAACATTGTAACTTAGGGTTTTCCCGTTTATACCGAATTAATATATAAATTGAATAACCATTTGTTGAAATTGTTCACAAAATATATTTCAACAGATAACACTGTTTACCACATGTCACTAGTCTTAATTCTTAGGATTAAAATTGAACTGTTAAGATTGACCATCCTTTAAAATCATTAAGATGACACAAAAATGGAGAACAAATGGGGATAAAGACTGAAACACGGACTAGGATGTATAAATCGGCCCTTATTCTGAAAGTTGGGTTCCGCAACGTTTTTTAAGTTGGATTCAAAATTGAATATTCAATGCGGTTTAGAATTATTACATTCAATGAAACTTTTTGTATCTGTCTGTTTTTAGTGGTGAAAAGTGCTAAATAATTATTGCAACTCACATATAGGAACAAGAAAAGGTAACAAATCTTATAACCGAAAACAGAAGGCTCTTCATCCAAAGAAACATTGAAAAATTAAATGAATTCTTGGAAACGTAACAAACTAAGTATTCAAACTGGGTAAACCAGAACTTTCTAATGCCTAGAACATAATGAAAACTAAAACTGGAATAAAAAATACACAGAGGGAGGAGTCCAAAAAACATGAGTTTGAATAATTTAAACTTTTTTTTTTACCTAACATGCTGAGAATCTCTCTAAACTCTTATCTAATAGCTCCATAGATATAGATATAAATGGTGCTGGTGAATAAGTGTGACAAACTTCACTGGATGAGTCTGCATGAAAAAATTTGGGTTTGCTGTAAAACCTTTGCAGATTCTTTTTTTTTTTTCGATATATGGGGTGTTGAAGTTTGTCTTCAAAACTAAATATGTATTGCACGAAATCGGTCGAGATGTGCAAATGAAATTTGGTGGGTGTAGAGGTAGTTATGGTGCATTTGTTGACATGCAATTAAAAATTTTATGTTCATCAGTGGCGCGCATACGGGTAATTTTCTCAATGTTTTCGAAAAAAAAAAAATGGTATGCCAATGAGATATATCAAACTAAAAATATTTTTTTAAAATCTCGTTTAGTTTGTGATAGAAAATCTGTCATAAGGGGCGCTGTTTTTATGAGAAAAAAAATCACTGAGATCATTACTTACTTGTATGCATGCCAGGGATGAACATAACATTATTAATTGCATCTCAACATGAGTTGTCATTTGTAGGGGTGCGACAGCTGGTTAAAGGAAAAACTTATTTTGAACTTATATTAATTTTTTAACACCCACCAAATTTAATTTGCATATTTCGAGCAGTTTCACAAAAATGAATGAGTATTTATTAAAGTCTTTAAAAGAATCCTAAACACCCCATTTCTTGGAAAACGAAGCATTTGTGGACAAAAGTTATACAACGTTTTTTCATCCAGAATCATCTCCTGAAGTTTGTCACACTTGATCACTTACACTCTGTATATCTCGGTAGAATGTGTAATACTAGCTAGTCATTGTGAGTCGTTGATAGATGTCTCAGCAATGATACAGACATTGAAAAATAAAAGAACCAAGTATACATATGAAATAAGTGTCTATGTTATTAAGAACTGTGATCATTTAATGCTGGGTGTTCTGGGAAATGTCATTAAGGTAAACTAGTTGATTATAAACAATGGTTTCAAATATATTTGAAAAACAAGACAAAATTGATATTTGTCTGAAATGATCAGAAATTTCTTAAGACTCTTTTTTATAGTTTGGAAAAATTTTTGTCAATTTAGGAAAAAAACATGCTTCATGTAGGTAAGTATTAATGAGAACATAATCCTTAGACCTTGGTAATATGGTTTTAGAAAAAAATGTCTACTGTTTTACTCAGACAATTAATTATAAACAGTATTGAAAGAAACAAAAAATGTTTGGGAATCTTTATAGACTTGAAAGCAGCTTTTGATCTTGATATACTGTTGAGTACTATGGAATATCTGTCCAACCGTTCTCAAGTAGTTTGTATTGAAGATCAGAGAAGTACTATCCAACCAATGAAAAGAGTTCCTTAGAGATCAATATTGGGCCCTCCTGTCTTTATAATTCACATATATGAGAAATAAAACTTTCTATGTTTTTACCACTTGTGTTTGTAACTATAGTTACTGCAGTTTTGTCCTATACGGACATTCGTTTGAACAAATACAATTATCTAAAGAAATGAACTTTTAATGTTCAAGCCTGTCTCGGATATACCCACACAGTAGCTTGAATGGACTGACGCCTATCAGAAAACAATTACTCCCCTGGCTAATACCACGAACGGCGTTGGATTATATCCGACATGCGTCAGTGCAGGAATCTTCACAGAAAATTTCCTGCATATGTAATTGGCAATACAACTGGAAGAGTTGACCTTCAATTTTGGAACGGACCCACTTGCAGACCGGTTTCGGGCTCCATAGCCACTCGTCAGTGGCCTGTCTTCAAGCATAGCCCACTGACTAATATGAAAGAATACAATTATTGTGTTTGTTTGAAAATGTCCTTATAGGACAAAACTGCAGTAACGTTAATAACAAATATAAGTGGTAAAAACATAAAAAGTTTAGTTTCAAATTTTTCATAATTAAACAACTCGTTAACGAGTCCTCTGCAATGACCACTTGCTACATTGTTTGAATCTATCATTATATCAACTTGACAATCGAATGCGTTCTGAAAATAACCACCAATTCATGGCTTTTCAGGTAACAGCATCCAAATTTTCGGTAGCAAAGTATCGGTTAGCATTTGGTTACTTTCAGACCATATGTACTTCTTGTGAGCTATCAGTATTTAGGTATTGGTTTTGTAGTGTATAGAAAATATTGCCAACTTTATCTACCTTCAGAACTTCTGGTTTTCTATACAAATAAAATAGTATGATAGTTTCTGAAGTGCTACTATCATTAAAAAAATTGAATTTTCAAAAATTTTTTTTGGAAAAACCAATTTTGTTCTGTTATTTTCACTAAAATTGTCTCTATTTTCTAATTATCATCTCAGGAAAATATGAAAAGTGTATGGAGTGAAATTCTTTTAAGAAACATTCAGTGACTTTACCATGATAAAAAAAGAATCTGAAACACTTACGTTTTGGACCTGTCCATGACTGAGCTGAAAACCACTAGAATAAGACACATTCTTCGGTGGATTGTACACTTGTCCAACTGAAGACTGACTGATATTTGCAACTGGGTGATTGCTTGCAGGTATGGTGCCCATGTTGAAATGAGGTCCTCCACTAGAATTCAAACTGAAATGATTCTGCTGAGCACTAGCGTGACTGTGTGCCATATTGGTGTTGGGAAAAGAGTTTTGGGGTATAGGCCCTGAAGGCTGCCCATATGACATTGATGTCCCTTGAGGATGCATGGGTTTATTTGGATTATTTGCGTTTGTTGTTTGGGATGCTGTTGGCAAAGCTGGTTTCAGAGTTGTATTCATTTTGCTGTCTCAGAGATCTATAACAAAAATATATTTGGAATCAAGAAATTAATCCTTGAAATTGTAATATAAATAAAGTTAAAAATTTTTCACAAATATAGTACAATCCCCTATCACAATGCCCTTGAACAGCTATAGAAACGACATATTTAATAGATACATTCGCTAAGCTCCTCCAATTCAAATTGCTGAAGTAGTGATTATAAACCAGGTTCGTACCCAAAACAACTTTACAACTGTTTACAATGTGTCCTCAAAAATAGCCGGTCAAACACACCTTTATATTATGATTAGGGCGAATATTAAAAACAAACATCGCGCAGTAAACTTTACTTATCACGAGTTTATTAGTTAACTTAGTAAGCTAATTAGCTAGGAGTATTCTTGTCCATTATCTCTTGGCAAAAATGAACCACTATCGTTGTTTACGGGTCAAACAGCTTGGGGTAAACCAGTTGAAATTCGACTGTAACACTAGAGAATATCTGGCACAACATAAAACTCCGATAATTTTTCAAACTCCAAATTTACTCACTAAATTCCATAGTGTAACTGTATTGTCAATAATAAAACAGAAAATCACTTTTCACCTATGGCGTCCACTCGAACTTGGTTACGAAGTACGAAATACGAAACGTAAAACGTAATTTTCATAAATATGCTTTTCACAGAATAGAAAACACCCACAAACATCTAAACTCTTGACTATAATGTTCTGTGAATTCAAAGGACAGAATTCACAGTACACATATTTAAAGGAGATATCCAACTTCACGTGATCTTGAAAAAGAGAAACGAAAGTTCTTGATTATTCCATCCTTGTTATCAGTTAAACTTACACAAATATTTTAGGGAGAAAGGTAAAAGTACAAAAAGGAGAAAATATTTTGAAAGTACTGTGTTATTTATATATTAAAGAAGAAAGTAATACAAATCATGAAAGTTATAAAACAACAAAAACTAATTGTTGCTCCGGGGCGTGCTTAAGTTGATGACTAATTTCTTATAGGATACTGACGTCAGGATCTAGGAGTTTGTATGTTATTCCTGCTATTATGTATTAATAATGATTTTTTGTGAATGTATACATTGGTGAGTGTAGTATCTTATGAATGAAATATTCCTGCAAGACATTCTGTAACTGTAACATGGGTTGAAATACCCCAGAATTCAATGCCATACTGTAGCAAACTATAGAAGTAGGCATAATACAATGGTAGCTTGATCTGGTTCTACGAAATTCAGGTTCTAGAACGTCAGGATCATGCGCAGTTGATATAGAGCGTTCTGGTTTTTCGAGGATAAACTCGGATTGATGAATCCTCTGTTCTGGTTCTGGACTGCGAAATGATCCTAAACTGTTCTGAACCGTCCCAAATCATTCTTGCTCTCGAGGCTGAACTATGAATGTATATAATAACTATTTTCATCTCTTTGCTCAATACTACTGTGAATTCTATATCTTTTTTATTAGGATATACAATATCAGTATGGTATTTTTTTGAACACATTATGACACCCCCCCTGTAGATGGATACTTCAACAAAATGAAGAAATTATCATAAAATCATTTAATCGTAAATTTTTTAACTCCTCATCAGTATGTCATCTCTCTATTAACATTTCTCGTCAAGTCATATTTAGGGACACAAGCCAGTTTAAGAAGGAAAAAATTATACATCTAATGTGGAAGGGGTGTTTTTTCTAGGGTCCCGGTATTTTGAAGGATTGAAAATTTAGAGTTCAGTATATCATCCCTTTATCAACATTTCTCACTAGTTCATATTTGGGGACACAAGTTAGTTCAAGAAGAAAAAAAAATTATACTAATAATGTGGAAAGGGGTGTTTTTTTCTATTCTATTCACAGTATTCACTATATATATATATAGTCGTTCGGTAGCCAAGCGGTTCGGCGTGGGTGCTTTGTTCACTCACTCGAATTGACTGCCGTGTTGGTCGGTGGTTCAAGCCCTAGTCTGAACGAAGTTTAAGTTTGACGATAGTCGTGTCACGAAGTGTTCTGACGATGCATTGAATTTATTGGAGCCTCTGGAGACACCCTACATTTTGTTTTATGAGAGAGAGGACATTGTTAGATCAAGATCTTCAGATGATGTGGTGCTGCAGGTTTTTCCGGGTTTTCCTGCAGCTGAAAAAGCAAATGCGCCACCGGAATCAATGAAGTCGCCCCGGAGCGCCAATTAATTTTGTTTGTTGTATTTATTTTATTTTTATCGTTGTCTTCAATAAATCATTTTTCAGATAATTTTATCACATAAATTTCACCATTTGTGATTCAAGAATGAGGTTGTTGTGTTTTATATCTATCGCATTCACATCAATTTCACCTAGCCAGTATAATACAGGTTATAAAAGCTTCATGCAGTATAATAATATTTCCAAGTTTGAAATCGATTCTGAGTTCTAATATCGGTTGCCAAATGAGTGATCTTCATGAATAAACATTCCACTAGTTGTGTGGTGTAAATCGGACTACTCGAGAATGGAGGACGGCGCTAGATTTGGTGGGCGATGGCGTCCGACGCTAACTTCACGTAAGTCAAATTTACGATGTTTTGGGGAAATATTTATCTCATCTGTTTTATTATACGCACTAGAGATGGCACTGAACAGTTAAATTTGAAGAACTTGTTCGAACTGTCCCAGTCACAAACCACCTAAGTAGTTTGTGGTCCCAGTTCTTATCGAAAACCTATTCTTTTTAACTGTTCATGTTCATCTATTCTTAAATGACGTCTCATCTTGCGTCATGGTCACTTTTTAGCGTTCGGTTCCGAGTGGTTCTGAATTTCCGTACTTTCCCTCCATTCGTCTTGTTGTTCTAGAGTTTCAGTAACAGGCTGAATTTCAATGTAAAATAAATGAAAGATCGAGCCCTATTTGGAATTTCTTTTCAATCACAGAGAAACAACTGCCACTAGCAACATGTGAAATTTGCAAGCAGGTTATTTCCTTCAAATCTTCCGTGACAAATTTAAGGCGTCATATGCTTAAAAAACACCCCACGGTAAAAATTCTACCCACTAAAGCAGTGATTCTCAAACTTTTCGAATTCACGGCTCTCTTATGTTTTTTGAAGGTTATCGCAGCGCCCCGAACGTAAACATTACATTATATATTTAGTTAATAAAAGTAGGTAGGTGGCTGTCTGAACGGATAGCATTTTGCAATTACTGATATTATCATATTATCAGAGGATTTTTTTAATAGGTACCGACGTATTACCTTTACTCTCAGTTATCTATGTTGTAAAACGTTGTACTTTGAGACTCACCCATGGCCCTCGGCACCCCAGTAAAAGTTCTACGGCCCCCAGGGCGCCACGGCGCAGACTTTGAGAAACACTGCACTAAAGGAACAGTGAAACCCCACGTTGAATAGAATTCACAGGGGCAGGGACCTACAATTTTGCAATAGGTGGGTATTTAATTAATTCGTTTTGCATTTTTTATGTTCAAAATTTCATGGAAAACAATTATGACTTGTCTATGCTCGGTGCAGTCGAGAGCACAAGTCACATAGCGGTCCCGTCATCCAGTTCCAGCACCAACCTGCGCAAGCTTCTTTGGAATAGCCACTCACCGTCTGAACAAGTTCAATTCATCGAAAAGAACAGGTTCACTGAACAGTTGACTGATAACCTGTTCCGAAAAACCGGTTCGGTTCTTTTGGGCCCATCTCTAATATGCACTTGCAGTAACTGAAAATTGACTTGCATTCTGCCAAGTCTTGAAAAAGGATTTTTAGAGTACTTACGCAACGTGTGGGCTTTATTTTTGGAAATGGTTCCAGACTCTCGTGGTGATGAAGTGGTTGATTACAGGGGTTTTTGATACATTTGGGATGAGCTCCTGTATATTCTTGTACACTCGATCTTGTACATTGCTTTCAAGTGTTGAATCAATACAATTTGGTATCTTTCGAATGTTACGAGTATAACGTTTTGTCATCGATGGATCTATAATTATGTCCAAGATGAGCTTCCCTTCCATGATTTCTGGGCTCAAATAAAATGTCGCAGTAATTGGGTTTTCTTTCATTATAGCTTGTGTGAAGTATTCACTTAAAGCAAAATGGAGAGTTCTTTCAGCTTACTTGCATTTGTTTGGAAATGTGAAATGAGCTCAGATTCAAAACAACTGGACGGTTTCTACCTGCCGTCGTTGGACCTAATCTCTATAGTCCTGTATATGAAACATGGCAATATTCATTACTGACGAGAATGTTCACATTATTTTTTCCAGTGTAACATCTTTTTGGGGATCTTGATCTCTTTTACGTCAGTTATTATTACGATCATTTTATGAAAACATCAAGTTTTTCCTCCATGATAATGATAAACTCGTTTTACATGGTTTATATTGTAATATTCAACACTACAAAATAACTATAAACGGAGCGATTTGAAACACGTCTATACACGATCCCCTTAGTCAACAATAACAGCAGCAAATATTGGTCAAGAAATTGTTTGATTTTTGCAGACACCAACTTGGTTGGTGAAACGCGCGTCGAAAAGAGTACAGGAGATGAAGAAAACAGTTTTCTTCATCTCATGAAGACGCCAATTCGGCTCGTGAAACGCCCGAGAAGAGTATTGCATTTTTGGTGATTGGTAAAAATGCTTTTTTTGGTTTATTCTTCGCCAGAGGTTTCAGTTTTACCTATTATTAGAAGAAGATCCATAAAATACCCTGCCATAATTAGTAAGATGCCAGTAAGAACTTTATTTGAAGGTGCAAGAGGGTTCATGTAATAACCTATGATAATGACGTAAGAAACAATGCCAGCTTGACCGAGCGTTAACTCGAAACTTCGGTGGTGATGTTGACGGGTAATTTATTTTCGGTCATCGGACTTTCGAGAAAGATCAAAAGGGCGACATCACAAGTGTAATGCTGAAAGACCCAGTAGCTTTACTCTTGTCGGAACCTTTGATATTTTTGTCCAACAGTATCATTTTCTTAGACCTACTGCGCATCCGTAAATTACCTGTCACAAGTGGATTTGTCAGCTCTTGATATTTCATACACTACTCAACAAGTGAAAAAAGATATAAACTGCTCGACAGTAAAACAAATTTAATAGAAAATCAAATGGGAATTTTGTAGTAATGTAAAATATAATGAAACGCTTTGATATGATGAACCAATGAAAAGAATTGGTTTGCTTGTCCAAACCAATCGGTCCTGTTAAGATGCAACAATATTGGAGCATACATGTATGCAGGTGGTTATTCTCAACTAAATAAGAAGGAACATTGCACAAATAGATGCCATATGAAATTCAATGTCCGTAAGGGATACTATTATATTTCACTACAAATGACGTATGAACTGTTGTCAGTTTTTTCAACGAGAGCTCTCGCTACACTCCTTACTGTATGTATCCCACGTTTGTCGTTCTAAATATTACGAATATTTTCAAAGCTATTGGAGTCACTTATTATCTGTATCGATTCAAGACTGTATTTGACACTAGGGGAAATAATT